GGATATGCGATAACCTAGGTAATCTATCCTTTCCTGGTGGAATTCGCATTCCGAGAGTTTGGCATATAAGTGGGCGGCTCGCTGTTTCTTCAAAACCGATCTGACTAGGTTGACATGTTCCTCTTTGGATTCAGTGAAGATAAGGATGTTGTCTAAGTAAACCAGGACCCCCTTAAATAGGTGCTCCCTTAGTACCTCATTTATTAATTGCATAAATACTGCGGGACCCCCTTGTAATCCAAATGGCAAAACTTTGAATAGGTAGCACCCCATTGGCAGTTAAATGCGGTTTTCCATTCATCCCCTTCCTTAATTCTCACGTGGTAATACGCTTCCCTTAGATCTAGTTTAGTAAAACATTTTCCTTTTGAGAGGTGTGATAACATGTCCTCCATGAGGGGTAGGGGGTATAGGTTGCTTTCACTGATTGTATTCAGGAGCCTATAATCCACGCATAAGGGTAAAGAGCCGTCCTTCTTCTCTCTAAAGAGGACCGGAGCAGCCACTTTAGGCTTGGCAGCTTCAATGAAGGTTTCTAGGTTTTTCTTTATGAATCTTTCCATTTCCTTCTTTTCCTTTGGGCTCATGGAGTATAATCTGGGCTTTGGGAGTTTTGCTCCAGGCTTGAATTCTATGGCACAGTCCGTGGGTTGGTGGGGGGGAAGTTCATCCGCCCTCTCCTCGCTGAAAACTTCAGCAAGATCTCTGTATTCCTCTGGTATTTCTGGTAGCCCCTTTTCCTCTCCCATGGATGCTTTTTCCGTTCTTAATTTTGGTAGATCCTCTTGGGGTGCCTCTTCAGTAGGTCGATCTCTGCTTCCTCTGCCAGGATGTACCATTCGTCGAGTTGGTATGGGTCCCCTCGGGGCAGGCAAGCGTCATATAGGTCGTAATTTAGGCCGTCTTTGAAATGGCTAAGGAGGATGTCTTCCGGCCAGTTCAGTTTGCTGGCAATGGCCTGGAATTCTTCCGTATATTTGGCTACCGGGCGTTTGCCTTTCCTCATCGTTTTGATCCTTTCGCGGGCTTTGCGATCAGCCAGGGGGTCCTCAAATCGCCTTCTCAGAGAGGACATGAAACGGTTGAAGTCGGTGAGCTCTGGGGCATTGGAGTCATGCAAATTCACCACCCAATCTGCGGCCGGCCCATCCAGAGCAGATTGCACGATTCGGATACGGGCTTTGTCGCTAGGGATGTGCCGCCCGTATTCTTCCATGTAGCTGAGGATTTGGGTTAGGAAAAACTCCAAGCGTGTCGGCTCCCCCTTGAATCTCGCGTCCAGTGGCGGGAGTCTTTGAATAAATCGGTGCCTTCGTTGTCGGTGGTATTCTCTTCCATCCAGATCGCCATCTGTGGGTTGGCGGGGAGTGGGGACTACTAGATCAGCGGACGTTCCCGGGGCTGCAGGTTCCAATTCCCCCTCAGTGTCTCTCCAGTTGCGGCTCCAGGAGCTGGTGCGGCTCAGAATTCTCCTCTCCTGGGGAGCTGAGGGTTCTCTTCATCAAGTTGATAGCTTTCTCTAGGATCCAGCTCGAGTGCGGTGCCCAGCTTCCTTTCCCTTCGCTTGCGTACAGGGATTTCCCCATCTCCTGCTTCCATTCTGGTTGGTTGGGCCCCCGTCTCAGGGTCACCTTTCTTGATTTCTTTTACCACTCGCCTTTCTTTCCAACGCCCATTGACCACCGAGGTTTGTGGTTACGCGTCTCCACCACCTCTTCTCCTCAGGAATCTGATCTCTCAGATCCCGACATCTGGCAGGTTTTCAGTCGGGGCAGTGACTCCCTCTCCGGGGGGTTTTCTCCCTTCCCTGCTCCATCGTCTGACATGGTATTTTTTGCAAAGTCTCCCTTCCAGGTGGACTAATTTTGCAGATCCTGTCTAATGTAAGGACCCACCTCAATTTACATCTTAAGAAGACAGAACTCTTGGAATGTCTCTTCCAACAGGGATCTTTATTAAGAGAAACTGGTTGCAGGCATGCTAGACAGGATCTGGGGAATCCTCTCCCACCATTCAATGTTTTAAAGTGTTCCCAAGCAGCCCCCACCCCACAGTTCTTCCGGACGATTCAATCCGTCAGTCCGCTCCGTCGGCACGATCACTCATCCTCTCTTTTCCCAGATCCCAGGCATTGCATTTCCCACACCTTTTTCCTCACTGCCAGCAAAGGGGAGAACTTCAGAGAGAGTAAGATGAAAGGCGATGGCCATATTGGTATGGTTAGTTCTCTCTAAGAGAATCAACAAACGGTCACTTTGTAGTTAAGGAAGGAAGTGAGAGTCGTAAAATCCCCATGCTTACTCTCCTCCCCTTTCGTAGTATGACAGAATCCAGAATAGAGTAAGAACTGGTTTTTTATCAGAGTAGGTAGATAGAAATGAAATATAATTGGATTCTGACACAAACCCTGCAGCAAGTAGATTAGAAGGGTTCCTGATGTGCCTAGCTGCCATCTTTGTTATCTAGAAGTAGAAGTAGAGGGTCACCTATACTTCTTTCAATATAATAAGAAAGTCAAGGAAGTGATCAGTCCATTAATGGGGGAAGATGGCAAGAAAGTGACAGGCAGCATGGACAAAGTGGAACTGCTTAATTCCTTCTTTTCATGCAAAAGAAAAAAATGGTCCAGCCTATCAAAAGCAGCACCATGGGAGACAGAACAGGAATGCAGGTAAAAATAACAAAAAATTAGTAAGAGAACACCTAATCCACTTTAGATGAGTTCAAAGTGTAAGGACCATGTGGTTTACATCTCGGCGTTCTGAAGTTGCTGGCAGATATAATCTCAGAACTACTGATCAAATTTTTTCAGAGCTTCTGAAGCATGGAGGAACAACCAGAAGACTGGAAAAGAGCTGATATGGTTCCAATTTTCAAAAAGGAGAAAAAGGTGGTACTAGGAAATTATAAACTAATCAGCTTGACATCAATACCTGGGAAAATCTTGGAAAAGATAATTAAGCAGCAGCTTTGTGAACACCTAAAAACAGGACGATTACTAGAAGTCAGCATGGGTTTGTTGTTAAAAATAGTTTGTGCCAAGCAAAACATATTGCCTTCTTTGATAAAGTGACTAAATTCGTGGATCAAGGAAATGCTGTGGAGATAATATACTTAGATCTCAGTAAGGCATTTGACAAAGTAGACAACAGACTACTTATTGGTAAAATAGAACAATGTGGGATGGACAGTACCTCCATCAGATGGATTCACAACTGGCTGACCATCCACACTCAATATGTAGTCCTGGAACTACATCTACATGGAGGGAGGCATGTAGTGGGTACCACAAGTTTCTGTTTTGGAATCAGTGCTCTTCAGCTTCTTCATAAATGATCTAGATGAGAGGATAGGAGAGCTCATCAAATGTTCAAACAACACCAAGCTGGGGGGAATTATTAACACTGTGGAAGATAGGCTCAAGATTCAGAAGGATCTTGACAGACTTGAGCATTGAGCCCTATCCAGCAACATGCAGTTCAGTGGTGAGAAATGTAAGGTCTTGAACTTAGGCAGGAAAAACCAAATGCACTAAATAGAATAGGCAGGACCTGGCTCAAATATATTAACTGTGAGAAAGATCTAGGTATCCTAGTGGATCACCACTTAACTATGAGCCAGCGGTATGCTGCAATTGCCAAAAAAGCCAATGCCAGTCCTAGGCTGCATCAACGAGGATAGCATCAAAACTTATCATGAGAAATGATAACACCATTGTATATTGCACTTGGAATAGAGGAAGTTACAACTGAACTGAAAAAATGTGACTTATGACCGTTTTTCACACTTACAACCATTGCAGCATCCCCATGGTCATGGGATCTAAATTCAGGTGCTTGTATTTATGACAGTTGCATTGTCCTGCAGTCATGTGATCACCATTTGTAATCTTCCCAGCCAGTTTCCGACAAGCAAAGTCAACGGGGAAAGCCAGATTTGCTTAGCTACAGTATGATTCACTTAACAACAGCAGTGAATTGCTTAACAACTGTGGCAAAAGATTGTAAAATGAGGCATAATTCACTTAATAGCTGCATTACTTAGCAATAGACATTTTGGGCTCAATTGTGGTCATAAGTCAAGAATTGCTTCCAGTTCTGTTCATCACAATACAAAAAAGATTCTGAAACCCTACTAAAGATACAGAGAAGAGCAACAAAGATGGTATAGGATCTGGAAGCTAAACTGTATGATGAACTTTTAAGGGAACTAGGTATGTCTAGTCCAGGGATAGGGAACCTTGACTCTTTTATGACTTGTGGACTTCAACTCCCAGAATTCCTGAGTCAGCATGGCTGGTTCAGGAATTCTGGGTATTGAAGTCCACACATCATAAAATAAACAAGGTTCCCTATCCCTGGACTAGCCTAATAAAGAGAAGGATTAGGAGTGATGTGATAGCTGATTTCCAGTACTTGAGGGGCAGTAACAGAAAAGAGATGTGATAGTCTCCAAAGCACCTGAGAGTAGAACAAGAAGCAATCAGTGCAAGATTGGATACAGAGGCATCCAACCTGGAACTAAGGAGAAATTTTCTGACAGTGAGAATAATTATTCAGTGGAACAACTTGTCTCCCGGAGTAGTAGGTACTCCATCACTGGATATTTTCAAGAAAAGTTTGGACATTGATTTGTCTGGCATGGTATAAGGTCTCTTGCCTTGGGCAGGGGTTGGACTAGAACAGGGGTAGGCAACCTTGGCTCTTTTATGACTCGTGGACTTCAACTCCCAGAATTCCTGAGCCAGCCATGCTGGCTCAGGAATTCTGGGAGTTGAAGTCCACGAGTCATAAAAGAGCCAAGGTTGCCTACCCCTAGACTAGAAGATCCCCAAGGTTCCTTTCAGGCCTATGATTCAATGTTTCTAGTGCAGTTTATTAAAAGCGGATAATACAGACTAGTGAAATAATTTAAGGTATAGCTTTTAGGGATATTTTATTAGATATTTCATTTTGCGATAATTCTTTATTTCAAAGTTAATATTTCTCTTCCATTCTTAGATTTGTGATATTGCAATTAATTGGGCTGGAGGCCTGCATCATGCCAAGAAGTTTGAGGTAATCGTCAAGACTGCTTTATTTATTAGGAAAGCATAATGTTTCCTTTTAACTGACATAATTTCTTTATTTGCATTCTCTAGGCTTCTGGGTTTTGTTACGTGAATGACATCGTGATTGGCATTTTGGAGCTTCTCAAGTAAGCATTCTTGTTTGCATGAATAATTCACCACAGTACAAAGTGTTCTCTTATCACAGTGTCTTCCCTGGGATTCTAGGTATAAATCTAGTTATATGAGACCTCTTTCCAGGTGCCAAAAATTAAAAATGGCCAATCATTTACAAAAGGCTGGAAAACTCACTCCAGAGTTCATCATAAACTAAAAGAAAGAAAGGCAAATAGAAAGAGTAAAAAAGCACAAAGAAAAAAAAAAGAAAAAAAAAGATAATATAGTAATGAAAGAGAAAAGAAATAAAGAAAGAAGTGACTTCCAATCTTGATTGCAACAATTTTTAACAGTTTTGGTAACTTTTCACATTCTCTAATTTATAACCAATTTTGTCTCCATTCCATGACCCATCTCTTACCTGTAAACAATAAAGCATCATAATTTCAGTCCTGGTGTCAGCAAAAGTCCATTAAGAGTTGTCAGAAAGTTGTTCCTCAGTTGTCTGAGGATAAGCTACTGTGACATTTAACCTTATTGAAATAAACCAATTTTATATTCCTTCCTTTTACTTCTAACAATCTTAATCTTTAATCCATTCAAGTAATGTTGTAGAATTTCATTTATTTTCCTTTTTTTTTGCCCATTGTCACAATTTTCATCCAACCTCTAACAGATCTCTTTTGTAAAACCAATTTATTTGTAATTCACTTTTGATTTTTAAAACATTAACTGATTTCTTTTTCGTGCCTAATGAGGTATCCTTTTCCATATCATTCTTGTAACCTGCCATTAGTAGTTCCACTTTTAGTGTCAATTCTGCCTGTCTTGTCAGATAAAATTTGTTCCTTTTCTGCTATTTCTTCAACAACATCCTTTGACACAGTCTGTCTATAAAACCAGCATTGCTATTGACATTGTTGATATTAACTTCTGATTTCATTTTTCAAAAGTGCCCATCAGTATTTCTAATGTTACAATGTTTTGTATAATTCTGTAGCTTTGGTTAACAAACAGAATCTTAGCCCTCCTGGTTGTAGTAGTTAAGCAGTTTCCCTGGTCATTAAGCAGAGGGAGTGAAATAATTGCCTGTTGAGTTCAGCTCCTGTCTGGGTGCAGAAGGAAAACTCCTTCTGGGCTGCAGGAACTTCAGATGTTCAGATCTGACCTCTCCTTCTGCAGCCTGCCAGAGGAGTTCCCCTATCCTCCGTGCTTGGAAGGGAACTTTTCCAGAGAGCTGCAGGAAGGGGGCTCAGATCTTAGTGATCCAATCTCCATTTCTGTAGCCTGCTGGAAAAGTTCCCCTCCACAAGCAACACTTCTCTTCTCAAAGAGCTGCCTTGCAGGGCAGGGTGGGGAAAAATTCAGCTCCACCTGGTTCTCTCCTGGCAAGCGACCTTTTTTTTTTTCTCAAAGAGCTGCCGGCCAGGAGGGGATCTCAGCTTTGTGGCAGGCTGAGCAGCAGTAACATGCAAACTTCCCTGCTGGTTTCCCCATTGACTTTCTGGGAAGCTAGCAGAGATTGCAAATGGCAATCATATGATTTCAGGGCTCTTGGCAACCAGTCTTAAATATGAACAGGTTGCCAAGCACTCTGATCATATTCATGTGAACTCGGGTGGTGATTTTTCATACATGAGACTTTAAGATTTACCGATGTTAGGAGATACTGTTTTTCCCACAGAAAAGATTTTTTTCTCTGATAGGTACCACCCACGTGTGCTTTACATTGATATAGACATCCATCATGGAGATGGTGTGCAGGAAGCTTTTTACTTGACAGACCGTGTCATGACAGTATCTTTTCACAAATACGGGAATTACTTTTTCCCTGGTACAGGTACAAAATCTTTTACTGTTCTTTGTCAGCTTTTAAGAATCAGAACTCTATTAGCCAGTTAATAAGTATGTGAAAGAATTTGAAATTCTGTGTCACAATATTTATGGAAAATTGAGATTACATTTTCTAATATGTACCCTTATTTGAATTCTACACTGTCATATAGGTGACATGTATGAAGTTGGAGCTGAGAGTGGCCGCTATTACTGTCTAAATGTACCTTTGCGGGATGGCATTGATGACCAAAGTGAGTGAGTCTTCCACTGGGCCTTATTATATTATCCATCTTCAGTGCATGTTTCAGCAGAGAAATTATAGCAGTGGTTTCTTTGTCTTTTTGTTTGGAAGGTTATAAGCATCTCTTCCAGCCAGTCATTAATCAAGTGGTGGAATTCTATCAGCCAACTTGCATAGTGTTGCAGGTGAGAATTTTTGATGGCCATTGCTTGTGGTACGGGTTACAAGAAGGGCTACAATAATGATGGGTAGCTTGCTGGGAAATTTCAATTGTCTTTATTCCTCATTTTTATTTCTTACCCTCACCCCCTTAAGTGTGGTGCTGACTCCTTAGGCTGTGATCGCCTGGGCTGCTTTAACCTCAGTATAAGAGGACATGGGTAAGTCCATCTAATAACCCATCAAAAATTAAATGGGAAATTAGGCTAGTAAGGATATGACTCTGCTTTTTTTCTCCTTTTAATGTTGTTGAAGTTCTGGTTTTTAGGCATTAAGACGCCTCCCAAATTCTCCTGTACCCCTTTTCTATTATAAAACACTTTTCCAAAACTGCTGCCAACCATCCTGCAGAAAAAAGATATGTATTTGTACTGCTATTTCAATCGTATTTAAATACATCTTCCATTGAGCTGACTTGTAGCAATCGGGATTTGAAGGGGAAAAGGTGATTTAGATCTTCTTTGGGCATCTCCTTAAATCTCGATTTGCATCTTTGAGAATAGGAAAAAGTACAGCTTCTTCAAACAATGGCAGCAGAGACAATGGAGTGCTTCTGGGCAGTCTGTGTAATCTTTTCCCCTTCAATTCCAAACCACTGCAGAGCTCTATTTGCACCTCAGTGGAAAAAATATATACACTGTGCTGTGCTTTTAGTTTTTCTGTTGCAGGCTAGATATGAATTTGTATGGTGTGTGAAATATTGGGAAAAAAGTTGTTCTAATCAAACATGAAACTCCAAATGCACAAGCAAAACTTTGAAAGATCCAGCACATCTTCTTTTTTTTTTTGGCTTTTCTTTTTTGCCCTTGACAGTTGCAGTCTGAAATTATGATGTTTAAGATACCAAGAGATATTTTATATTACCAACGTAATAGTATGGTGTCAGAATTGTTGATCTGGAAATGAGTTGTCAAATAGCAGCTTTTAATATTTCTTGTTGATTGGGAAATATTGTCAGTCTTTTTTAGCAGGTTCCCTTTCTAAGGCTAGGCTGCAAAATGGCTGGGTTTTTATGTTACACTAAATGTTATTTGCTTGATTTTTAGCTGACTATGTTCTGTTTTCCTCAGTAACAAATTAAGCAGGTGTAATTTATTCACAAACTATGTATATTTTCAAAACTCTATGTTGTCATATGCTGCCAGGGCTCTCCACAATGATGTCACTGGGGGCACCACAATTGTCTATCTCTTCAATAACTGTGATTGCCACTTTGTTTTCTTTTGCACACATGCACACCCCTTAGTATATTGCTGTCTTTATAATTGCTTAAGAGCTGAGCTTATTTTAAAGGAGAAAGTCACTCTATAAGTCACAACACGTTATCCCAGTTCCAGTCTATGTCAGTCTTTGAGAATATGAAGAGTTCATAGTTCTTGCACTGCATCTATTCTCCCAGATTTAATATTAGCTGTCAAGAAACATTATTGCAACCTTCTCATTGCATTAAAATTGGGTTTGTGGTTTCTTTCAAAGACCTCTGTAATTGGTTCAAACTCCAGCAAGGGCTGACACTCTTCCGTACAGGCTGCTGCTTTGGAAACAGAAAAGCAAGCATCAGAAAAGGGATGGCCCTCTCAATCTCCTTCTGCCTTTGGATCTAATTATTCAGCTTTCTGCCCTTCTGCACAGTCCCCAATGGATTTTCCTTAAATTAATAAGGTCTTTGTTCAAATGTTTGGGGAGGGGGATCTTGGCAATCTCCTAATAGCTTAGCAACTTCCCAGCTTCAGCAAAATAGGTTTGATACCGACTTTGAGATCATTTTAATAGCAGTCATTTGCAGTAACTTGCTAGATTCACCCACACATACACTCTCTCACAGACACAGACACACACACAGCATTTTTATTTATGTGTGTATGCCAAGTATATGCCAATATAAACATTCTAACCTTGGATTCTAGGGAGTGCGTGGAATATGTAAAAAGTTTCAACATTCCCCTTCTGGTATTAGGAGGCGGTGGCTATACAGTTCGCAATGTGGCCCGATGCTGGTGAGTCTTTTTTTTTTTTTTAATTGAAAATTTTATAAAAGTTTTACNATAAGCGGAAATCTTGGCCATTTCTGCTAAATTTGAGACTTTAAGTGACCATTCTTCTATAGTGGGCAAACGTTCCGTTTTCCAACATTGAGCTACTAGTAGTCTTGCAGCAGTTATCAAATTCAACATCAAATCCATTTCTTTTTTATCCAAATCTTCCATAATACCCAGCAAAAATATCTGCGGCTTAAACTTTATCATTTCTTAAAAATATTTTGAATATTTCACCATATCTTAATCCAAAATACCTTTACTTCCCTGCATGTCCACCACATATGAAAATAGGTTGCATCTAAGTTTCCACATCTCCAACACTTAGGTTGTAAATTAGGATACATGCAGGACAATTTTTGAGGATCCAAATGCCACCTATAAAACATTTTATAAAAATTTTCCCTTAAATTCTGAGCTTGAGTAAATTTTACATTTCTAATCCAAATTGTCTCCCATGTTTCCAGTAAGATCGGTTCTTGTATATTTTGAGCCCATTTTATCATGCAGTCCTTAACCAATTCTGTTTCTGAATCCAATTCAATCAATGTGTTATAAATTCTTTTAATATGAGCTTGAGATTGATCTTTAATCTGTTTCATCAAATTTACATCCTGTAAAGTAATACCAACTTTTTGATCCAAACGCCACCTCATTAACAATTGGTTATAATAAAACCAAGAATATTCAATGTTTTCTTGTTTCTAAGCTACTAAAGATTTAAGTTGCCAATCTCGTCCTACCGGACAAAGTAGTTCCTTATAAGAAACTTTATCCAGATTAACTCCCCTAGATATCCCCTCTATTACCTGTCCTGAAATTGCCCAGATAGGAATTTTATAATTTAATTTATAATAATATTTCTTCCAAACTCGTAATAAAGCACTTCTTAAAATATGAACCTTAAAATTTTTATCTACCTTTTTATCATAAATTAAATATGCCTGCCAACCAAATAACAAATCCCATCCTTCAAGAGAAAGTATATTTCTGTTTGTTAAATTTAGCCAATCGCTAATCCATGTCAAAACCACCGATCATAATACAATTTTAAATTGGGGACTTTAAGTCCTCCTCGTTCCCTTATATCTTGCATAATCTTAAACCTAACTCTTGGCTTCTTGCCCGCCCAAATAAACTTATTAATACCCTTTTGCCAATCCTCCAAATTAGCATCTTTTTTAAAATAGGGATCATTTGAAACAAGAAAAGAAATTTAGGAAGGACATTCATTTTTACTGCTGAAATTCTCCCCAACAAAGATAATTGCAATTTTTTCCAATCATTTAAATCCTTTTGCTGGTGAGTCTTGTAAGAGTGTTGTGATAGGCTGGGGATAGCTATCTTTCATGGCTGTAAGTTACTATAAACTGCCCAGAGTTACCCTATGGTAAGATGGGCGGCTAATAAATGTAATAAAGAAGTAAATAAGTGTCATAGATATATGGCCTTCATAGAAATGGTCTGCCTTTCCTTTCAGGACTTATGAAACATCATTGCTAGTAGATGAAGCAATTAGTGAGGAGCTTCCGTATAGTGGTAAGTCGGGTTTTTCTGTGTTAAAATATAAACAATCATTTGTTTAACCTTTTCTTAGCCAGATATATAAACAATATTATACCATAAATCTTACTATATTTTAGTATATAACACAGTAACTTTTCTATATTTGTGCAGTAGTTTATACTTTGTGCATAATATTCAGTTATAATAATGTCTCATTTACCATCATTTTAAAGATGAACAATTTCATAATACAATTGAGAAATGTAAAAAAATTCCTCCTCCATACTATGTTTAGTGTAATTTCCCAGAAGTACTTTATTGGTTTATTATGTTTATGAAATATTAGTTCATTAAAGCAGAATATCTGGATATTGTACTGAAATAGCATAGTCAGAGTTGCCTTTAAAGTCAGCTTAGGAACACCAGTAAATATTTAACAAAACAAAAGTTTTAACATCAATGTACTGTCTTTTGCTGATTTCTAAGCAATTTCTGGACCTGTATTAAAGGGCTGCTTTTATTTTTTAGACTTCTAAAGTGACTTATAGCTACATTGTCTGAAGAATAGCCTCTTTACTCATGTATCAGCAATGATTTGTTAATGTTAAAGATCGTGAGTACCCAGTTAGAAAAAAGCTGCATATTAATATGCTAAATGAAGCAGGATATGCAACTAACACTAAGAATAAAAAGCATCAGGGAAATCTGCTGGGTTTCCCCCCCCCCTAATTGTAGAGTAGCCAGTTATGAGATTTTAGCTGATAAAATCATAGGGCTAGAAGGGACCTTCGAGGTCTTCTAATCCAACCTTCTGTCCAAGACAGAAGATAGTCTGTGGGTTTACACGTTATGATATAAAAGGTCATAATAAATTACATGTCTCAATGAAAAGAGTGAAAAAGTTAAGATTGTATTAATTCCTCAGAGAAATAACTCTCTTCAGTTGCTGTGCTTTGATGTGTACTATATATAGATTTCACATACATATATATATATATACATACATACATGCATTTCTCTTTTTTTATCCATAAAGAATACTTTGAATACTTTGCTCCAGACTTTACTCTCCACCCTGATGTCAGCACTAGAATTGAAAATCAGAACTCAAGGCAGGTGAGTATATCCTGCTAGATGGACAACTTGGCCCTTTCCTTTATTTGCCTCCTTTCCCATAATATCTCCTTTAATTATTAGTTTCAAAAGATGTATTATTAGTACTTCTGTTTACTAAAGCCCAGTCCTATAGTAGATTAATTTTGTTACTATACTTAACTTTGATGGCAGCAAAAATGACAGGAATTTCATACTCTTTGCTGAAGTGATTGGCTTGATAGGATTTTGCTGTATTTTCTGTTTTCTATGAAGTACTTAGATCAAATACGGCAGACAATATTTGAGAATTTGAAGATGCTGAATCATGCACCTAGTGTCCAGATCCATGATGTCCCTTCTGATCTTCTGAGCTATGATCGCACAGATGAGCCTGATCCAGAAGAGAGAGGTTCAGAAGATAATTACAGCAGGCATGTTTTTATATTTGTCCCTCAAATAAAAACCATGTATTTTAACCTGTTACTCAAGAGAAACTCCAGAGTTACCTCCTGGAAATCAGTATGTATTGATTGGGACTCTTGATATGATCTGTTTAATATCCACAGTGTTCCTTTTCAGAGCCATGTGTTTGTTGCATTTTTTTAGTAAGCAGATTCCATATTTATCCTTAATTGCTATATTATATCTTGCAGGCCAGAAGCTTCCAATGAGTTCTATGATGGTGACCATGATAATGATAAAGAAAGTGATGTTGAAATATGAGGCCTGAATCCTATAAATTTATACTATGTGAAATTGTCTGGATGATGAGACTCTTAAGGAGGCAATAGGTTCCAGCAGAAAGACTGCTCTTTCTACCCGTTTTCTGAAATGATATCAGCAGGACTGGTAAATGATGGAATTATTTGAGCACAGAAGGCAATGAGGGTTGCCACTTGACCTGATCTTCAGCCATTAATTGTGGGAATAAACATTCATTACTTCAGGTTCATGTATGTATACTTTGTTGCTTGGTGACCCTCTTCAATTCTCATTCTGCAATGACCATCACTCTTCACAAAGCTGCCGCTGTTCAAAAAAGGACAGGATTTGTATTGTATTTTGAACCATTTGTCTTTGATTTTCCTGAAGGACCTAATTAGAAATCTGTTATAAAAAGCTTGCCTACGTGGACATATCAGTTTATTGCAGCTATATGGCCAGAAACAGTGAAATATCCAATTGTAGGCTACTTGCATACATACATATATAAAAATGCACTGAGCATGATCTAATGACGAATAAGAAGACTTATAATAAAATTAATTTTTAAAAAAGTTATTAAAAAAATCTAAAAATAATATTTATCCTATTTATGTTGCCGACAAATCTCCAGTGCTGCTGTGCAGAATCTAGCCACCTGTGCCGTAATCACAGCCTGTTCGTCCTTAAGCAGCCACTGGAGATAAGTAGTGTCAGAATGGCCAGGATACCTATCGAATATTGGGAGGACATGGTTTTTTTCGAATATCTCTATAGAAAAAGCATCGAAGGAGTATGTGTGCAATAGTCTCCACCTCTCCTGAGCCACAGGAGCAAAGTCTTTCAGTCAATGGTATCTTTTTATACTTGCTGTACAGGATGGCCGATGGAAGCGCATGGCACTGTGCGAGCGAAAATGCTTTCCGGTGATTTGCTGACTCCAACTGGCTAAGAGAACTGTTGGGAGCAACAACATACCTAATAGAGTCTGGAGCCAGAAACAGCAGAGCTATCCCTAAGTCCGCTTGCCTCTCGATGTCCTCTACCCTTTGTCACAAGGTTTGTTTTGGTCGTAGTCACCTATGTGGACAAATTTTCAGCTTCTATATCAATGGGAATTATAAACAGAGATCAGATAATGTTGGTGGATATTTTGCTTAACTATAGTAGAAGTGGAAAAGTCATATATTTAGCACTCCAATCGTGGATTATTTTAAAAATTATCTTTTAGTTCTGCTTGGAGATGCTATGTATTGCATGGCAACATGCCAATTGAGAAATTAATTTGGCAGGTTTTTGGTGACTTTATGCTCTATAGCAGATGTCTGTAGCTTATTGGACATACGTCTGTTTTTGCTTTAGTGAAGGAGTATTATTAAAGGGAAGAGTCCTGGACCAAAAATTAATATTCTTCAGTGTATCCATCTTTTGCTATGTGTTAATTCCTAAAAGTCCTGTATTTTGAGTTTAGGTATTATTCATACTTGAATTCTAAAAGAAAGAAAATATAAGGATACTTTAAACAGAAAAATGTATCCCTCTCCCTTTTTTGCCCTATTCAACATTGTCCTGATATCTGAAGTATTTGAGGGGGCTGAAATGGAAAGAGATTTCCCAACTTTAATTCCTCCTCATCTAATGTGGACTTAAATCTTTTTAATTAAACTACATGTGCTGAAGATAGTTGCCAACACTTTGATCAGTTCTTTGCAGCTAAAATGACAGGCAATTGCCCTTCTCTTATTTTTTACCTGTGGACTTAAAATATTAAACACAATATTTCTTATCTTCTCTTTTGTTCATTCCCGGTTTGTCCCAACATGGCTTAAAAGTTCATATAGGTAATCCTCGAGTTACGATAGTTCACTTAGCAACCGTTTAAAGTTACAACATCACCCCCCCAAAGTACTTATGACAGTCCCAAGGTTACGAATGTTGCAGCACCACGGCAGTTGTTCACCCTTATGAACGACCGCAGAGGCACTGCAACATTTGCCCTGCCTATTCCTCCCCCTCCCGCTAGATCTGTGGAGACTCACCTTGCAAAGATCTAGTGAACTGTCTTCTTTCCAGCTTCTCTGCCACAGTTTCTTTGCCTGCTTTGGTGCTTCAGGCCTTCCATGCATTCGGAGAGAATTTGCTACTGATCTCACATGATCTTGAGCTATTTCAGGCCTCCATGCTCTGCAAAGGGAGCCTGAACAAGATCTGCACCAAAAGGCTTTGCAAATGGACAGGAGGCTTCGCTGTTTCAGGCCTTCCATTTATTTGCCATTTCCTTGCTGAAGCCTGCAGGGTTGAGAGATTGTGTCCCTGCAGGCTCCAGCTGTCTTTGCAAAAAGCTTTTGCCACCAAGAACGGAGGTCGGGCTTCATTCTTCATGCCAAAAGCTTTTTGCAAAGATGACTGGAGCTTGCAAGGATGCAGGCAAAGAAACCGCAGCAGAGAGTTTGGAGAGGACACCACTCACTTGATCATCCAGATCTTCAAAAGGTGAGTCTCCACAGGCCCAATGCCTAGGCCTTATGGAAACCTGGTGGAGCAGGGTGGGGGGGGAAAACATGAAATATCTCAGTGGGTCGGGGAAGACCTTTGGTGGTTGGAAGCACTAGGTTCCATGGTCTTCCCCACCTTGAGATACCTCATATGCACTTAACAATTTGACATTTGATTAGCGAATGCAATAAGTAAATCAAGGATTTACGATTTAACAAATTCATCAGGTTATGAGTGTAATTGGCAGGCTCTATTACATTTGTAAGTCGAGGTCTACCTGTATTTAATAGCTACTGAGATATACCATAAATCTAAAATTGCACTGACTGTGACTTTGTTCACTGCCATGACTGCAAAACCTGGCACTCAGCTTGGGAGGTTCCCTCAGAAACCACTGCAAAAGAAGGCTGGCTCCTTTGCCCAGCGTTTTTCCATAGTCTCATATGTGAGAAGATTGAGAGGAGCTCAACAGCAGACTGAGGCAAGGCTGCAGGATTACTTCACTTTAGCCTTAAAGGTGCACTTTCAAAAGCCTTAAAGAGGAGCATGATGTCTGAGCTACACACAGCACTTGTGTTCTTTTTAAGGTGCCCCAAGTTAGTTTCCTGATGTTAAAAAAAACTGATTGCTTGAGGTTCTTTTATGCATTTCTGTTGCAGCTTTCTGATGGGTGTGTTTCCTTCAGGACATATTATCACAATTAAAAGAAAAGGCAAAGCCACAATTATCACAGAAATATCTAATAAAGGTTATAAAGTTAGAACAAACAGAGCCTAATACCATCAAAAGATGCATTGTATAATGGATGAATGGCAATCTAAAACAAAGGTCTCTTGCAATTTGAATTCTCGGTGTTTTGGACCGGCTGCTATGTCCACTATGTTCTAACCAATATGCCTGCCTCACAATAGAGACATAAAGAGCAATTTCTCCATCAGATTTTAGGAAATGGGAGGAAGCTTCCTGAAGGAATCCCAGATTTGAATACATTAACATTTTAAAAGTCATTGTCAGCATTTTGGCTATGAGTAATAACCAAAAAAAAGCATGTGAAATTTCTTTCCTGTTTGGAAACTTTCTGTGTCTAACTTTAAGTGTTCCACATTGAAATGACAATCTCCCCCTTGCTCTTTATGAATGTATCACTCTATCTAATAAGAAGTAGGCCTTATAATGGACTATTTCCAATTCAGTTTCCTGCACATATGGTAAAACCCATTGAATTCAGTGACAAAAGACAAAGAGGAAGGACAAGGGTGATGTCGTCATGTCTCGTGAAGACCAAAAAAGAAAAAAAAAGAAAGCAGCAGCCCTTGCTGCTGAAACTGAGCAATTGATTTCATATCCTCCCCCAGAAGGAAACACAGATAGCTAAAGAAATATCTTTGTTAAATGTTCCAGTGATAGGAAGTAAAGTAGCTCAGACCCTCCCTCCCTCCTCCTCCAAAAAAAGAGGTGTTTCTAAGTGAGAATTCACTTTTCAGACTGGACAACTTTTTAGGAGAAGTGCGTTGACTCCCAGGTGCAAAGATTAAAGATGTGATTAAAGTATTTTACTAAAATACTCAAGCCCATTGATTATTATCTCTTTCTCCTCTTTCATGGTGGGACAAACAATACAACTAAGAGTCTAAAATCAATTTCAAAGGACTATGAGCAACTAAGCAGAAAAGCAAAGGATCTGAATGTTCAGATTATTTTTTTTCATCTGTACTCCAGCAATAGGTCAACATCTAATGAGGGAATGGAGAATTTTAGAAATAATCTGCTGGCTTCAAGGAATGGTGCCATCATGAGAATTTCTGATTTCTAGATCATGGTTTACCTATCTACAGGAGAGGTTTTAGCAAGTGATGGATTACACCTTACAAAGACCAACAAGAATGTGTTTTGAAAACAACTAGCTCAGCTCATCCAAAGGTCTTTAAACGAAATCTGGAGGGGAAAGGAGGCCAAATTATATGATTAAACCCAAAGCATAAACTCCAACACAATAAACCAGACAATGAGAAAGGGTGTGATGAAAGGTAGGGGCACACAAGTACAAATCAGAAGACACAAGAAGCAAATCCAGGGTCAGCCATAAAGGATGATGACTATACACAAATACTCATATTATGGGGAACAAACAGGAAGAGCTTGAAATCCCAGTACATGAGGGCAGGTATTGCTATTATTGAAACTTGGTGGGATAAAGCCCATGACTGGAATACACAACTAGATGGATATCAATTATTCAAAATAAACAGATCCAACAAAAGAGGGGAGGGTTGCATTCTATGTAAGGAATTACTATATCTCTACAGAAATGCATAATACCAAGAATGAAAGCCTTGAAAGTATTTCAGTAAATATAAGAGGAAAACAAATCGACTTTGCCATAGATATGTCCTACAGCCATGCAACCCACAGAGGAAATACTGTAGATGAAAGTTTTGCTAATAACTATAGTAATGGGGGACTTTAACTACCCTGACATCAACTGGGAAACAAATTCTTCAGCAAGTGGGAGATCAAATAGGTTCCTGATGTGCCTAGCTGACAATTTTATCATACAAAAGGTAGAGGAAAGTAATAGAGGAATAGCAATACTGGACTTAATTCTTACTAATAGGGACAAAATGATTGAGAGAGTAGAAGTTATAGGAACTTTGGGGGAGAGCGTTCATGTCTTACCAGATTACACCATAATACAGGCATAGGGGAGAGGACTAAGATTAGTATTTAGACTTAAAAGAACCAACTTGA